GATTTGTTTCTTAAAATATTCAAAGGTTTTATGTAAAATAAAAATTCAAACGTTTTAAAAAAAAATACGAGGATTGAAATTCTCTATCATGGCACTTCCTATTCATATGAGCCCTAAATAATACCAATATATCTAACTCAAGTAAAACATGAAAGAAAAAAAATGAAGAGATAATATGTGAAAATTATATTATTTCCCAACGAGTTTGAATCATCTCATCACTTGTTAAGTATTATGCGTGATAACAATCATACGTTAAGCATTTAACAACAATATAATAACATATTTACAGTCGTAGTTTTAATCACGCAAACATAACATATAAACTCAATCACCTCAATAATATAAACATACAAAAAGTTACATAATAAGATGCCCACAAATAGGCTAACATATCATTATGTGTGGTGGAGGCCGCTAATCTTCATTGGCTTGTAATAGAGATATTAGGAAGATAAACATTGGTTTTTTTTGTATCTTGGCAAAACTTGCAAGCAAATTTATCTAAGACACCACTAGCTAAGTAGTCGGTGTTGAGAGGTAACAAGCATCAATATGTGATGAACCTTCAATTGGATTACCAATCTTGATCTTACATTATTTCAATATCTTTGTCACAATACCACTAACACTCAACATAGGAGGCGTATAATTTTTCTTGCTTGATGTCTTTGCCATATTACTTGCTTTAATGACGCATTTGTAGTTAGTCAATTGGTGAGGTAAGATGGCTTCAAAATTTATTTCGTTCCAATTTGATTGATTCACAATCGTTGAAAGGTTTGATATCTTGAACGAAGAGACAAACCCTATTTTTTTTAACGTTCTCAGTATATTTTTTTTGCAAACATTGTATTTGCTATGATAATGTGCACACACTAAATGACCAATTTTCTTATTCGTGATGACTTTCATATTCCCTTAGAGTAGCTACTGGTTGTAATGAGAGACCAAATATGTGCCGACACTTTGGAATTCACAAAGCGCAGTTATGTCCCACTTTGGAAGTCAAATATCTTGCAAAGATCTTAAAAGATGATAGTGTGGCGCTTTCCTCTAACCTTCAAATTAA